AATCGTGAGAAAACCCATAGCGAGAGCCTCATTCCTGAGCGCCGAGGGCGCATCGTCTGAATACACTGCGAGGAAGTCCCACGCGAGAGCGCGATTCGTATACAAATTGTGAGAAGTCCCGCGCGAGAATGCGATTTGGGAATCAACTAGGAGGAAGTATCAGGCGGGAGCCGCTGTTCTCGTAAACTGGGGGCCATCAGCCAAGTTTGAGCCGAGTGACTTTCCCTGATTACAAAATGAGGTGCGAGCCATGGGGAAAACACTTCAATTTAACAAACACAATGGTCACCAGAGCGGGGGGACCAACAGTAATTCCCCAATCAGAGCTTGCCTCTGTAGGGGTCCTAGCGGATTCATATGGTTAGGTTAGGTTTGCCGCCGATATTCACCGCACGCCCGGGTGCCCGGGTGCCCAGGGGTGCCCAGGTGCCCGGGTGCCCGGGAGTGCCCGGGTGCCCGGCCGGGTGCCCGGAGTTGCCCAGCCGGGTGCCCGGAGGTGCCCACCCGGGTGCCCGGGTGCCCCGGGGTGCCTGGGTCTCTATCGCCCTATAGCCCTATAGCTCTATAGCCCTATATCCTTATAGACCTATAGACCTATAGACCCATAGCCCTGTAGCCCTATCGCCCTAAAGCCCTATAGCCCTAATAGCCCTATAGCCCTATAGCCCTATAGTCCTTATGCCCTATAACCCAATCGCCCTATAGCCCTATAACCCTATAGCCCTAATGGGCCTATAGCCCTATAGCCTTATTGCCCTGTAGCCCTATAACCCTATGTTCCTATAGCCCTATAGTCCTGTAGCCCTAGCCGCATGCTCCTATAACCGTATAATAGCCCTAAAAATATCATGATTGGGGCTTTTCTCCGGTGTCATTATATTCTTCAAACACCAACACCAACACCAATACCACCAACAACACCACCACCACCAACAACACCACCACCACCACCACCACCACCACCACCACCACCACCACCAACAACAACAACAACAATTACTAGCACGTGGGGACACACCGTTCTCACCAGTGCCAGGGTTTTCATAGGAGGCGGGCAATACCCCCACTTTGTGGGGGGGCCGGTTCAAGCTCTACCAAATTTCCAAACGACTCTTCGCCACCACCCACACCCAGCTTCCCGCCCTATGACGTTCGGACACTTCACTTCGTGGCATGCGGACGACCGTGGCTACTATTCAGGGCCCCGCGGCCGACGACGACGGCGTGCGCGCGCGAAGAAAAAACGAATGTGTCCCGCATGGTATTATTTGACAGGGATGATGGCCCTGGCAGGTGCGCAACCGTTGTTGCAGAAGTTCGAAAAAGTTGCTCGCAAAAGCCCGTTGGACAGAAATGATTAAAAAGTGTTGGGTTTCCTACGAATCCGCACGAGCGCGCGGGATGAAAGTTTGACAATTTTTGTTTGAAAAACAATTGTTTTTTATGTTTTTATGTTAAAATCGCTATAATAACTAAGGTTTTGGAAGGATTTCGTCTTGCGCGCGCGAATGTCCACTTTACCTTATTTTTTGCAAGGGATTCTTGAAGTTTGGTTATGTTGGAACAAGAAATGTCCACTTTAGCTTAAGGGAAAACCGATCGTAACAACACAACCGGATCCGGACCAACCCGTTTTGCCTGAGACTTCCTCACGAAAATGATGAAAATGAGGCTGCGGCCTAGGCGCGGCGGGGGGGTCGTGCACCAGGGGCCCCAACAATAATTACTCTTGAGAAGTAATAATGTTCAACAACAACAACAACACCAACAACTACAACAACAACAACAACAACCACAACCACAACCACAACAACAACAACAACAACAACAATCATGATAATTATGTTCGCTCTTATCTGCTCGAGTGTCATTCAACGTGTACCCGCCCTTTTCGTCTTCAATCGTACCCCTTTTGGGGGGTATATCTTTCGTCCCTGAAGGCCGGGTCCCAGCAAGCGGCCGGGTGGCCGCGGACTGTCGGCCTGGACAGCAGCAGCGCTGATCGGCGGCAACCCGACCCCAAGAGGGACGACAGGGGACCGACCAGGACGACGACGACGACGACGACGACGACGACGACGACGACGACGACGACTACGACGACGACGACGACGACGACGACGAGCGAGAGCGAGAGCGAGGGCGAGACCGACAGCGGGGCCACGAAGGGCAGGAAGGGGGGCACGAAGGGCGACAGCGGGACCACAAAGGGCATGCATATGGGGCCACGAAGGGCGCAAACGAGCGGGGGCCACGAAGGGCAGATAATGCGGGGCCACAACGGGCAACGACGGGGCCACTGAGGGTAGCAACGGGGCCACGTAGGACAGCGAGGGGGCCACAAAGGGCGACAGCGGGGCCACGAAGGGCATTCATATGGGGCCACGACGGGCGCGAACGAGCGGGGGCCACGAATAACACACGTATATTAAGCCACAGAGGGCGAGAACGGGGCCACTGAGGGCAGCAACGGGGCCACGAAGGGCAGCAAGGGGGCCACGAAGGGCGACAGCGGGGCCACGAAACGCATGCATCTGGGGCCACGACGAGCGTGAACGAACCGGGGGCCACGAAGGGCGTACATAATTATGGGGCCGCGAAGGGCAGCGAGGGGGCCACGAAACGCTGCAACGGGGCCACGAAAGGCAGCGAGGGGGCAACGAAGGGGCGCAACGGGGCCACGAAGGGCAGCGAGGGGGCCACAAAGGGCTGCCACGGGGCCACGAAGGGCAGCGAGGGGGCCACGAAGGGGTGCAACGGGGCCACGAAGGGCAGCGAGGGGGCCACAAAGAGCTACCACGGAGCCACGAAGGGCAGCGAGGGGGCCACAAAGGGCTGCCACGGGGCCACGAAGGGCAGCGAGAAGGCCACGAAGAGCTGCAACGGGGCCACGAAGGGCAGCGAGGGGGCCACGAAACGCTGCAACGGGGCCACGAAGGGCCGCGAGGGGGCCACGAAACGCTGCAACGGGGCCACGAAGGGCAGCGAGGGGGCCACGGAGACAGCAACGGGCCCACGAAGGGCCGCGAGGGGGCCACGAAGGGCTGCAACGGGGCCTCGAAGGGCAGCGAGGGAGCCACGAAGGGCTGCAAGAGCGCATGAGCGCGTTTCTTTAGTACGTTGTGAGCAACGAGAGCGCGACTCCAGAGCGCCGAGACAGCGACTCTGGAATACAATGTAAGGAAGTCCCAAGCGAGAGCGCGATTCCTAAGTAAAATGCGAGGAAGTCTCGGGCGGGAGCGAGCATCCTGGCTAAATTGATTGGAAGTATCAGGCTGAAGCCGTTGTTGTTGCAATCTGGGTGCCAGGGGCGCAATTTTGTGCCTGGTGATTTTCCCTGCTAAAAACCAGGGTGCGAGTCCCGGGGAAAACACTTCAATCAAACCAACACAATGGTCACCGGAGCGGGGTCAACATTAACTACTGTTCAATAGTGAGAGGTCAACACCAACACCAACACCACCACCACCAACAACAACAACAACAACAAGAATCCGCAGCGCGGAACCTCGAACCTCACTTCAGCCAAGCGCCCAGGGACAGTGAATGACCGTTCGGCCCCCTCACTCTGATCATGGATCTCTATACATTTACCTCTGCAGCAAACTACAGGACACTGACCTGCAAGCTCACAATTCCATGCCCCTGCCCTCTGCCACGGTGACACGTCTTTACACCATCTTGAGTCGCAGATCCTTCACACGCAATGCACGTGCTGGCCCCGATTGCGCAGGCTTCCCCCTTCCAGACCACTGCCACGATCTCTGAACATTCTGGCTGCCATACTTTCCCTCGACACACGAGCTCGTCTCAACAGAGTACGGGGACAGACATTACACTTTCCCGTTCGCACGCCGCTGACGAGGCCCATGTCTGGCCCCCAAAGCGTTAGAGGAACAAGCATGGAAGGACTTCAGGAACAGAGCGAACCCCTTTCTGAAACCGAACTGGTCTTTGTTTCAGCGCCTGTACCGTACTACGCGAACCTATACCTGCGGCTGATGCATCGACTCACGCGCTCGCCTCAGCAGAAATGCGGCTATTACTTTGGAGGCTCCTCCCTCCAAGCCTGCAACCCCCTTCGCACGTCTGTGCACCCGCTGGCTGCTGTCTACCTCGGCACGAGAATCCGTATCGGACGGGTGCTGTCAACGCACTCGCAGCCATCCTTACCCACGCCTCTGCTCATACCAAACACCCACGAAAACTACAACTGCTGGCGTCGTCAACACGCAGACAAAAATTCGAAAGCGACAGGCATGAGTATCGTTTAACCGATTCCCATCCCCAGCGGCGTGGCCTGGGCCCCATTGGCCGATTTACCCCGCTAGATGGGGATATAGGTCGTTCCCTTCGGGTTTCGAGGGGTGTATCCCCAACTGGGGGAGTAATTTGGTGGGGGTCTCGAGGGGGATGGGGATGGGGATGGGAGGGGGTTAAACGGTACTGAAGGCAGACCAGAGACAGGGCGTGCGGAAGGCGAGGACGAGGACAAAGAGCAGCCGGAGGCAGAGGCCGCGCGCCGCCGTCGCCATCCTTCCTCCCGGCACGGCGCACAGCCGCAAGCACAGCTGCAGGACGCCTGATAGAAACCTGACGGAACGCAAGGCCCTGTCACATTGGTTCTTCGACCCACGCCTTATGTTGCTCCTATCGTACTTGGGGACCACATCCCAGAAATAATTTCGAGCGCCCCGAAAAGTATCGAAACAGTGTCGAACGAATATCACCTCCCAGGGCCTGACACTTGAAAACCCTCAAGTTTAGGTATTTTCCTGATGCTCGAAATTCTTGCTGGTGATCAAGGCTAAACTAGATTGGAACATCATAGCCCACGCCGAAGAAATAGCACGTCTGGCGACCTGCCGGTACCACTATTCTGCTGACCTTTCCGAGGCACTGTCCCCGCCGGACGATCCTGCCACGCCGATCACTGATGGCTACCACATTGCATGGCACTTCCTGCCACCCCGAGCAGAACTCGAAGCGCGGGTCCACGCCTTGTCGTATCTCCCTGCGCAGTAAGACTCATGGACCTTCGTGACAGCCTTTGGTCGGCACAACACCGCCATCACACGTGGCAGCAGTAAGGCGTGAGGGACAAGTGACCAGCGTGAAACAATCTCGAATCTTGCATTCCCTCGATTCCCTCGAGCATGACACTATGTTGTTCAGTAGCAAGGATAGATCTTGGACCTCAGAAAGCCATCACCCCCGCTGTCTTTGCCGCGTGGAACGAACATACTGAGCGGCAGCTGAACAGATCTGCCACTCCTGGAATCGCTGCGAGCATGCCTACCGCCGGGCTGCTGGCACTGATAACCTCAAGGCTGCCATGACTAACCGCAGCAAGTCGACGCATGCGACTCCGCGGAGATGGCCCATGGCACTGCCATCCACGCCGGTCGAAGGACATCGCGACTCTGGCCCCGAGACGAAGCAAGCAGCACGGGACACGAGAAGACAGGAGAGGAAGGGCAGTGCCACATAAAGCGTCTTGCTCATGCCCGTGTCGATCGTGTCCTCCTCCGGCAGGTTGAAGATGGCCTGCCGGGGCACGAGCAGGGAGAGCACGAGCAGCGGAATCAACGAAGACGAGAGAGCTGGAGGGAACTGAGAGGGGGACCAGGAGCATGATGAGGGACAGGCGGGCACCAACTATACACCTTCATCGAGCCTGTCCAGAGACACCCTGGGCACAGGATTCGTGCATACGCCTATAATGCTCCCATCGTATTTGAGGACCACATCTCAGAAATAATTTCGAGCAACGGGACAAGGTATCGAACCAATGTCGAACGAGTATCGCCCCCCAGGGCCCGACACGCGAAAACCCTCCAATTTGAATTCTTTCTGATGATCAAGGCTGAAGAGGGTTGGAACATCATAAATATACGCCCTTTTGGATTGGTCGGGAAGGAATATACAAAAAATCGTTTAGGGCCAGGGCCTCGCAAGAGTCGGTGTGGTCTGTATAGCAGGGTTGTGCCTCCACAAACTCGAGGCCTCCCTGATGGCGTCAGAGTGGAAGGGATCGCGACGCATCGCCGATGCATCGACGCCGTATCGACAATGCATCGCCGATACATCGGCGACGTCGATGGTGCATCGCTGGCGCAAGCGTGGAGAAATCGGGACCCGCATCGGGCCACATCGCCGATGCATCGGCGATGCGGCACGATCCCCCGAACCCGTCTACTCCGACCCCATCCAGGAGGCCTACACAATCTGGGCGTCGGTCTCTGACACCGCGCGGATCGTTCAACCTGCAACGATCCCAGCTCTCCGATACAGTCAACCCGTATCATAAGGACGCGCGGTAAGGATGCTAGGGCCTTGGAGGCCAATGTGAACGCTTTCCGAACGAGGTTGGCCAGCGAAAGTCGCTAAGGATGGCGTGCGCGCGCGAACAGCGGCGCGCTGCAGCGCACAAAAAGCGCGCAAAGCACGCGCAGGCGCGCACAAACGCGCACTAACGTGTCTAGACGCGCTCGGGCGCGCGGAGGCGCACCGGCTCGAAAAGCTTGCAGGCCGAAGGGGGAAGGATGAGAGTCTACCCTTGGGAAGGTTGCCCATTCTTTCTATGCGGGTTGACTGTACTGCGGATCGCCCGATGTCGGCCGATCTCGGGACCACAGGCGGCGTTCAATCGGCGGTGAACAAACCTCCCTTTACTAAGCCTCCCCTTGAAGAAAAAGGCCTGAGACCGAAACCGACGAGCCTGGACCCGCAAAAATGACGGCCGCGAGGCCCTCTCGCGAGCCGAAAGCGGCCAATTCTTTAATCGACGCGTCAGGGTAGGAGGTCTGTCCACCTCCGAGCGTTCAAAGCCTTGAGCGCCCACGCCGGGGACGCCAGGGCAGGGAGCCTCGGCCTCGAGCGGGCCTCCCGGCAGAAGGCTGGGGGAGTGGCCAAGAGGCCAGAGCTTCACCTGGGTTAGGTTGCTCCCATCCTACTTAAGGACCGCATCCCAGAAATAATTTCGAGCACCCAGAAAAGTGTCGAAAGAGTGTCGAAAGAGTGTCGAAACAGTGTCGAAAGAGTGTCTAAAGAGTGTCTCCCAGGGCCCGACACGTGAAAACCCTCGAGTTTTGGGGTGCGCTCGAAATCCTTTCTGGTGGTCAAGGCTAAAGGCTGGAACCTCATAATCCCTGGGCCGGAAGTGGTACGTCAACGTCTCGATCGCAAGGATGCAATGGAACGCACAAGGACATACTCGCACTATATGTTCTCTTTGGGGGCGAACGTCCGACCCAAACATCCAGTATACCCATCTTGTAGTGTAGCGTGTCCCGAGCGGTGTCCTGCCAGGAAGCGCTCGCCACGACGCATACATATACGATAAGATCTCTCGGTGCGCGCATCGCCCCCGGGGGGGCGACGCACATATGGTAGAAGTGTGTTGGGGTGACGCCGATGCAAGACCCCCCGACGTCCGGATGGCTGTACTCGGCGAATTTGTGCCGCGACGAGGCTGGCGTTGGCTTCTGAGGCGCGGTTGGCCCAACCGTAAACGATCGCTGGCTCCTGACAGATCGCCCGGCATCGGCCGATTCCGGGCCCCTGGCGGCGTTCAGCCTTGCACGCCCTCGCTCGGGTCGCCGCCGCGTCAATACGACACGAACTCACACGTTTCCCTCCACCCATCACAGCGGTCCACAAACCTGGGGAGGTCCGCGCGGACTCCTTGCATCGGCGCCAGCCCCAGGAGAGCCCAGAATCGAATCGATAAGTCGGATCGGCGATCGACATGAATCGGGTCGGCGGAAATCGGCAGCCCAGTCGGAAAAAGTCGAATCGGCGGAAATCGGCAGGCTAGTAGGCCTTCAATAAGAAATCGGAACCCAAATCGGAATCCCAAGTCGAATCGAATCGGAATCGGCAATCATCGAAATCGAATCGAATCGACTCGGAGGAAGCGAAATTAGCCCTGCAGCCCCCCCCCCCTGGCGCGCGGAGAGCGCCAGAGGCGAATCTGGGGCGCCACCGTGGCGACGAGGGCCCCCCCCGGAGGCCAGCTGCCAGTGTCTCAGCTCGCCATACTCTGACATCACGAGCCAGCTGTGGCAGGAGGGCCCAGAATCGAATCGATAAGTCGGATCGGCGATCGAAATCAATCGGATCGGCGGAAGTCGGCAGCCGAATCGGGAAAAGTCGAATCGGCGGAAATCGGCAGTTTAGCAAGCCTCCATTGGAAAATCGGAGCCCAAATCGGAATCCAAAGTCGAATCGAATCGGAATCGGAATCCATCGAAGTCGAATCGAATCGAATCGGAGGAATCGAAACGAGCCCTGCTGTGGTGCCGACAGCGTGCACCCAGGCAGATCTGGAGACAAAGTGTTTGTTTATTTCCGCGTGGCGGTCGCGACCCCGGGGGCGGGTAGGCGGGGGCTTGGGCCCTGTGTAGACGGGGCACGCCGGGGTGGGAGCGTGCTGCGATCGACATGACAAGGAGCCGAACTCTATACACCGACGCTTTTCCCGGCCCCGCAATGGAACTCGCACAAGAAAGCGGACCCTGGTGTATACGGATCCTGGTGTATACATGTTTCGTTGTTTCCCAGAGAAGCGGGGGAACAAACATAGACCACACCACCCCGACGTCGTCCCCGACCCTCCACAAGTCCTGGGATTGAATAACAGCCCGCATCTGGTAATGTATACGCTCTAGTTTTCGACATAACATGCGCGCGAGCACCAGCATGTGGTAAGGTGTGGTCCAGGCCCCCCCCGTTCGCACGATCGGTACTCTTACCTCGAGGGGGGGGGCCGAGCAGCGACCGTTACGCGCCGGAGGATAGAAAAAAGTATTTGGCGGCGCGCACAAGGGTGTATGTATAGGGGGAGGGGGGAAGGCTTCCAGAAAAGAACCTGGCTTCTCAAAGGCGCCAGGCTTACATCTACAGATCAGGCCCGCGCCTTCTAAGCAGGGGTGCTTCTAAGAAGCGTTCCCCCCTCCACCTACCCCCCTCTTGACTGCCTAACCAGACAGACCAACCCAACCTAACCCGAAGACCCAAACTTCGGGGTTGAGGGGGGGGTATGCGTTCCACGTGTTTTTTTCATGGTTCCCCGCCCCCCCCCCAACACACACACACACACACACACACACACACACACACACGCACACACACAAAACACAAAACACAAAACACAAAACACAAACACAAACACAAACACAAACACAAATACAAACAACAACACAAACACACACACACACACACACACACACACACACACACGCACAAACACACACACACACACACACAACAAAGGAAAAATCACCTGCGAGTGACCACTGCGCACGACTGGGGATATAAAAAAAGACCCTCTGGACCCGCACAGGTCGACTAGGAGATCGACTACATCATTGGTTTACCCCAAATTTGATTTCCTCGCCGCGTATACAAAAAACATTTGGAATGCTAGATATACGAGCATTATATTATTTGTTCGTCGACTCGACGAGGAAATTAATTCTGGGGAAAAAATGTGAGGTAAACCAATTTGGGACCCCCCTCCCTGGCGGCGGCGCCGGAGTTGCCGCCAGGGGTTCCAGCCCTGGGGCGGACCTCCAACAGTGTATGCCTATGCCGTTCTTTGGCTGGGGATCTGAAAGAACACACACACACGACCCGCACCAGGGGCCCCGTGCCGGCGAGCCATCACTTGAGCAGGGACCGACCATCCCGGCATGCCTAGAGTCCTACCACGACATGTTCTTAGAACCCAAAAGTGTTCTAAATACAAAAACAATGTTCTTAGAACATGAATCCGATGTGTTAAAACAAGACAGTCCCAGCCAGACATGTTCTAAGAACATGTCGTGAAAACCACACCAAAAAAACATTGTTTGGTAGACCTATCGGCGCGTCAGGACGCTTCGCCACTGCTTGAATCACGCGAGAAGCCTCGGGCCGTGCGGTGGCTGCAGCAAAACCTCGGACCGGCGCGCGCGGCCCCGGGTGCGCCCGAGGGATGCAGCGGCGTCCTCCCGACCGCGGTGCCAGGGTCGGGCATGTCCTCCTACAGGCGGATTTTGAAAGAACAGAAAATCATTGCAAAAATATTGTTTCAAAAAATCGCTCAAAGCCCGAAAGCCAAAGCCCCTCCTGAACCCAAAGTGGCCCTCATTTCGGCGTCTGTCTTGACTGCACGTGCGCCAGGTACGTGTCGTGAGGGCTACAATAGGAGCTCGACCAGTGCGGGAGGAGGAATATCTACCCTTTTTGAGCCCCAAAGGCCACCCTTTGGGGGCCCGAGAGGGCCCCTTCTGGGGGCTCTGACGGGCCCCTTCCTGCAGCCCTCGCTGCCCCCCTCCTTGATCGCCCCCCCATTACGCACCCTCCGACCCGTGCAGCTGGCTCTCTGCCGGCGCCAGGCAGAGGCGGCCGCGCAGGGAGAGGGCGCGGCAGCGGATCGCCGAAGCTGGCTTGCCGCACGCCAGACCAAAAGGTACAGTAGGAGACCGACCACCAGTAAGGGCCCCCTCAGGCCGAAAATGGTGAAAAACCTCCCGTCGCGATTCCTTCACTTCACATCGCGCCGGGGTCTGGGCTCGAAGACCGATGGGCCCCCCCAGTTCTCGCGTCCCTCCTCGACGCTCGGTGGCTGTGCGGGGCATCGCTCGGGCCTCCAGCGGCCGTCCCGGGGAAGATCCGGGCTCCCCTGGGAAGCTCTCAACGTGGCGCAGCTGCCGGAAAGCATCCCGGGGCGAGCAGACACCCACCGACTGGGGAGACCCGATGGTACCAATACAGCCACTCCCCAGACCTCTCCAGGAGTGCGTTCTGACCCGGACTTCGAGGCGAATCCAGCAGTGGCGACGAAGGCCTCCCAGGAGGGCGAAAAAAAAAGAAAACGGTGTCGACGAAACAGGGAAACGCGACACCAACACCACAAGGGCGAGGAGATGCGAGGAGGCAAAGGGGTCTCCCTGATGGTGTGGTTCCCCCCTCTCGAGACGTTCCCTATCCCCAGATCGGGGAGGCAACGTGGACCTCGTCGCTGGAGATGGGCCCCCTGGCGGTGTTGGTGTCACTTCTCCTCCCTCCGACGTGTCCTCCGCCAAAGGACCAGCCACAAGTCCTGTCCCGCAGTGCCCCTCTGCGACGCCCTGAGGTCGGAGCAGGCGGCCGAGGGACGAGCAGGGCTCTGCCTGGAAGCTCTCCAGGAGGCGCAGCTGCTGGGAGAGCATCCCGGGGCGAGAAGAACCCCAGGGGCCAATCACAGGTCCTGAGCCCCATTGGGCACAACAATGGAATATACGTACGCTCAGTCGACGCATCCGTTCTCCTCTTTCCCTGCGTCTCCGTCGTCTCTTTCTCTGCACCCTCCTCTTCAAGCCTCTGCCAGCGAGAGAAAACCGTAGCAACGTCGCACTTAGGTCGAAGGGAAGCTTCCCGGGGGGGAATCCCGGGGGGGGGGTCAGATACGCATCCGCCCCTGGGCGTCCCGGAGCCCCAAAAAGCGCCAAGGCGCGCCAAGAGTGCCCCAAGATGCCCCCAAGACGGTCCAAGAATGACTTGTCGTCGTCGCCGCTCCCCCGACTTTCACTGGGCCCTCCCAGCCACAGCGAAATTGAGCCACGTTGTAGATGAGTCGAAGAGAGAGCCCCTTCCCTTTGATCCCTTTTTCGCCGGAGAGGGGGGGGTCCCCGGAGAGAGCACGGGGGGAGTCCCGGACACGGTCCCGGAAAGAATCCTGGGGGAGTCCCGGGGAGGTCCCGACCCAGATACGACCCCCCCTGGACGATTCGGGGGCCCAGAAAAGCCGTACAACGCAGCAAACATGCCTTTAGATGCCCCCAAGACAGTCTTCGAGGGCCCCGAATCGCTCAAGTATCGGTCCAAGTCGCCAAAGAAGCCTCCAGACAGCCTACGTAAACGGTTTCCAGCACCCCAAGAGGCCTCCAAGAGAACTGCCATGAGTGCCCCAAGAGACCAAAATTTTGATTTTCATTAGTTTTTCACTGTCTTTGGCTTTCTCGCCTTTCTGGGCCGAAGGGGCCCCCAAGACCGCCCAAGACTGCACAAGAGGCCCCCAAGAAGGTCCCGAGACAGCCCAAGAGGACCCCAAGACGGCCCAAGAGAACCTCAAGACAGCCAAATAATGCCCCCAAAGGGCCCCAAGCAGGCCTAAAAAGAAGACCACGAACCGACATTTCAAGCTTCCCGCCCCAAGAAGCCCCAGGAAGGCCCCAAGAGCCCCTCAAGGGGCCCGAAGAGGCCCCCAAGAGACCCCCGTAAGAGGCCCAACAGAGACCCCAACAGGACCGTAAACATCCAAGAGGCCTTTCAACCACAACCCCAGCACGGTGGCGGGAAGGGCCGCAGCCGAAAGGCTCCCTGTCTGTCTCTGCTACGGCTCTCTCGGCCCACATGGGGAACATCTCCTTCGCCTTCTCCTGCTCCCTTCCACCTTAATCCCCCATCCTCCTCTTCCTCCTCCTCCTCCTCCTCCTCCTCCTCCTCGTATTCGTCGTCGTCGTCTTCAGGGTCGGCGGCACCGGCCGCAAGGCCTTAGCAATATACGATGGGGCCGCGTCCATCCTCGGTAGGGGTGCGTCAGAGTAGCCCCCTGGGGGTGTATCCAAGGGCTTCCCCCTTTTTCTGAACGGCCAAACTTTTCCTGTGGAACTCGGAGATCCTGACATCGCTCGGACGCCCATCCCCCGTGCATGGTGTTAGTCTCGCGCGTGCTTTTTCTTGCCAGATGCTCTACGATGCTCCTCGATGGCCCTCGCCGAGAAAAATGCACCCGTCCGAGCGATGCCAAGGGACTGGGGGAGCAAAATCGCCTGCGAGCGACCTCTGCGCGTGGCTGGGGATATCAAAAGCGATCACCCCCACCCGCACAGGTCGAGCAGGGGATCGACTACAAGAACTGCTCTACCCCAGAATCGATTTCCGCGTCGAATCTACGAAACAAGATACGTGGAGTGCTCGTAGATCCTAGCACCGAAAACCGCTTTCCTCACCGAGATGAGAATACGAAAACCGACATCCTCGCCGAGAACACGTGCACGCGTCCGAGCGATGCCAAACCAACGCCCCGGGGTCGGCGCACATGCGGCCCGCGCCCCGGGCTCGGGCGGGGCCTCGTTGACCTTGTAGAGGTCCTCGGCCACCAGCTTCCTCTTCCGCGCGGGCCGAGAGGGCCTCGGAAGGCCTCTCGAGGACCTCCTGCTCGTCCTCCTCCCGTCTTCCTCCTCTTTAGTCTACGCCGTGACGTCGTCCTCGTCGTGCCTTTGTCTGCTCTGCGTCGAGGGCCTCCACCCCTCCCCCCGCCCATGCTCCTACTCCGCCCGTTCGTCCCTGCTGCTGCTCCCTGACCTCCTCTTCGACCTGCTCTGCCTGTTGTTCCCCACGTGTTTGCTTCGATTCTTCATTTTTTAAACGACTATTGAATACGTATCTTTTTGTTACTACTAGTACTCTCATTGTATTACTCGTGATATTAATTAGTTTTAGGTTTCTGATTATTGCTGCTCCCCGTCCTCCTCCTCCTTCTGATGCTTCTCTTCCTTCTCCTCTACCTCCTTCTCCTCCTGTTCCATATCCTCCAACCCCCCTCCAACTCCTACCCCCCCCCCTCATCCAGCTTCTGCTGATCGTCCTCCTCCCCCTCCTCCCTGCTGATACTTATCGGCATCCTCCTCCACCTCGTCCTCATCATCTTCTCATCATCAACATCACCATCAGCAGCATCAGCATCAACGTCATCATCAGCAGCATCATCATCCACATCGACATCGTCATCGTCATCCGCATCAACAGCATCATCATAATCATAAGCACCTGCAGCATCATCATCAACAGCATCATCATCATCATCATCATCAGCATCATCATCATCATCATCATCATCATCATCATCATCATCATCATCATCAGCATCATCATCATCATCATCGTCGCCAGCGCCTCATCACAAAAATGATAATGATCATCATCAAAATCAGTATCAGTAGCATCATGGCCACTGCCATCATCAACATCATCAGAATCATCACCATCCGCATCGTCAGTATCACCATCATCATCACCATGGTAAGCAGAATCAGCATCAGCATCAGCATCAGCATCAACACCATCATCAGCATCAGCATCGTCCTCAAACTCGCCATCTGCATCATCGTCATCATCAGCATCAGCATCATCCCCATCAACATCAACATCATCCTCATCCTGATCCTGCTCGCCATCGCCACCGTCATCATCACTATAACCACCATCATCGTCACCATGTTCATCATCACTGTGCAATGTTTTTGTCGTCTTCGTCATCGTCCACACCACCATCATCGTCGCCACCAGTATCAGTATCGTCCATCACCATCAGCTCTAACATCCTCCTCCTTATTCGATGTCCCATCCACACCATCCACCTACGTCTCTCCTCCCCTCATCACCAGCAACGACCTCATCACCAACATTATCGTCATCACCACGATCGTCATCAGAAGCATCATCAGCATCATCATCACCAGGACCATCATCGTAATCATCACCGTCATCATCACCCCTACTCATCTTACTCCCTCCACCTCTTTCTTATCAATATGTCGTCATCTGTCCTCTTCCTCCTTTTACTCGATTGCCCCACTGCTCATCCTCCCCCTTACTCCCTCCATCCACCTGCCGTGCACGAAAGCTGCTGTCAGTGAGGACTTCGAACAGAAATCATCACTTCTACAAAATACAGCTTGCATGCGTACCCGTATGGGCGCGCATCACGGATTGAGACCGCACTCAACCGGTCGATTGTCATCGTCGCTAAATGACGTCATGTTTTGGACAAGCGAATGCTGCACATGCAACTTCCAACTCCCTTTACAACATTGCTGAGCGACGTCCGCGATGACTCAACATCGTCCGCGTCTCTGACCTGCAACTTTTCTCAACAGAACCACGACTACCAAAACATATCCAGCAACAGCAAGCACGAACCCACCGACGAAGAGCAAAAACAGTGGCGGCGAGCAATGAGCACATGAGCATAGAGAGACTGTGAGACGCACCCAGTCCTCTTCTCCGAAAGGATGGGCTGAAGCACGCTGTCCAGGTACATCGCCCAACCAGCCCGCCCCTGAGGAGGGGGGCGGAAAAAAAGCACAGGCATTTAGGGGAACTGGCACGCTGTGCGTGCGGGAGCTCGGGGACGTTCACGAAGGCCGTGGCCAGGGCCTCTGTCCGGCCCTGCACGCTCGCTGCACTGCTGCCCGCTGAGTGCTTGGTAGGCGCGGCAGCCCACCAACATCCCGCATGCAGTCACAACTCCCCGTCGCTCGGACGTCCAGTCCCTGCGCGCGTTTCGGTTTCGTGCGTGGTTTTGTTCGCAGGATGATCCAGGATGCTCCTTAATGATCCCCGCCGAGAACAAGTGCACACGTCCGAGCGATACCAAGACAATCACTGTCACGATGCATGTGGCTGTGCCGTCTCCCCGCTGCGGAAAGCAAAGCATACCGTCTGGATCGAGGTCCGTCTCCATGATCACGTACAGCGTGCCTATGTGTGCGGGCGGTCCTCGTGCCGTGTTTGTGCGCGGCCGCAGGATCCACTGATCTTGAAGTTCGGGGTGGGGTGTGCAACCGCTCATGCACATGTACAGGCCGTCGTTGGCCTCGTTGAGGGAGGGCCGACCGCACCTGTCTGCTTCCAACGAATGATTCAAATCCAACCAGCCCTTTGGGCGAAGGCGGTTTGGGGAGCTCATTGTTCCAACCGCCTCTTGCTCTACCCTTATGTTGCACCCATGGCACTTAAGGACCACATCCCGGAAATCGTCTCGAGCGTCCCGAAAAGCATCGAGACGGTATCGAACGAGTATCGCCTCCCAGGGCCTGAAACGTGAAACAACTCAAGTTTCGGTATTTTCCTGGTGCTCGAACGTCTTTCTGGTGATCAAGCCCAAAGTAGGTTGGAACATCATAACCCTACCCTTGGGTCGGGCATGCCCCTACAGGGGGATGTCTGGTGAAAATTGTTTCAAAAATAGAAATAGGAAAAAGAACTCAGAAAATATTCAAAAATATTGAAAAATCGTCCCCTGGCATTTTTTTTTACTATCTTTGTTCTCGTGTAGAGGGACATGCCCGACTGAACCCTAAACCCCTCTCCAGGGGTCTCGACGGGCCCAGTCGCGGGGCGTCTGAGCGTCCAAGATGACCCCAAGAAGCTCCAGGAGCGCCAAAGAGAGGGAGCCTCCAGAGGGCCCCAGGAGGCAAAAATCTTCGGCATCCGATTGGGAGGGGGGGAATATCTGAGAATCCCACCGTTCTTGGATCGATGGCCTCCAAGCCGGGCCGAAGCGCGCCCACGAGGCCTTCAAGATGGCCCCACGAGGTCTCCACGATGCATCCAGGGTCTCGCAGAGCGCGACTGCATGCCACACCACATCCCTGATCGGGGCAGCTCGCTGGATGGGCTGGTGGGGACACGCGAAGCGTCAAGAACATGTTTGCCAGAGTGGACCCCAAATAGTGAGTTTGTACACTCCTCTAATAGTGAGAGTGTACACTCATACGTGCAAGCTGTGTGGTGTGAGCTATATTGCAAGATGTATGATGCAGGTGCAAGCTCGTTGGTGCAAGCTATGTAGTGGAAGGTGAGTGGTGTAAATTATGTGATGCAGTCTGTGGTGAAAGTTGCAAGCTATGTGTGGTAATGCTTTTGTTTTACAACATGAAACAGCACGCCCGCCGCGTGATCTGAATCATCATACCGCTGCTCCGGCGAATAACGGCGGGGCGCCGGCCGAACAGAAACACACCGCGGCGTCGCCCGTGACCAGAGCTGGCATCCGGCCGACAGCTGACCCCGGCTTCACACGTAGGACCCCCCCTGCGTAGCCATGGCGCACACCCCACCGCTTACTGCTCAGCGTGGTCGGAGGCAGAGAGAGAATGAGAGGAGGTGGAGGAGGAGGGGAAGAGGAGATGAGAGAGCGAGGAAGAGGAGAGAAGGAGAGAGAGCGAGGGAGGGAGAGAGGGAGACTCGATGCTACCCATGTTTGTGAATGCAGGGCGGGCGTTTAGCCCTGGCCCCCGCGCAGGAGGGAAGAGGCCAGGACGGCGACGAGGGGGGCGGCGAAGGCCCGACGAACAGACGCAGCCATGGCCCGAAGGCGAAGGGGCGAAGCCAACGAGACCTCATCGACTACACGCAAGAGTGACCCTGGGTAAGAGTGACCTTTGGTGCGCGGTTCATTGGGGGCCGCTGGGGGGCCAAAGACGAGAGCGCAAGACGCTCATACCGCGTCGCGTTCGGCGATCGGGGGGCCCCCTTGGACCCGCACCAAAGGTCACTCCGGCGAAAGGTCACTCTTCCGTGTAGTCGCTCTCATCTCTCGAGCGGCGCGCGCTCGCAGGCCCACTGAAGCGAGCATTGCGCGCTCACGGGCTCACAGACAAGACCGGCTGCCCTTGGGACGAAGCAGGGCGACGTGATCTGTGCTCTCATCCACTGGCCCAAGTCCTGGCCCATGCGGGGCCCAGGAGCGATTCATACGCCTCCCTGGCCAAGACAGAAGGCTGTATACACCGCTCTTCCAGCATGGGCCGGGCCTGGGGCAGCGGATATGTATAATGGATACCGCCACCCGACAAAGAACAGCTTCGCACGCGCAGCGCCGATAAATACACTGCCTCTGCACTGTGCAGGCCTTCTCCCGCTCGGGAGTCGCGCGTCGTCCCAATTCATTATTCAGAAGTTAAACAATCCACCCCCAGAATCACCACCCCGACACGCGAAGTCGTTTAGTAAACAAACCCAAAGGAGGAATCGACCAGGGCAGGGCTGTATAGTAAACGCCCAGGGCCGTTTAATAAACGCCAATTGTCCGGTCCGGGTGGCTTTTCCTGCCTTGATTCTTGGCGTCCAGCCAGGGCGGGGTCGCACGCCCCCCCGCGCGCGTGATCAAAACATAGCCTCGCGGCCCAAATGTGCAAATCAGACGCCCAACGGGGGAGGCGCTCGTTTTTCTCAAGTGCAGACGTTCGGCAATGTGGTGGAAACTCGGTGGTATGAGCTACAGTCGACCCGAATCATAAGGATGCGAAATAAGGATGCACGGGCCTTGGACGCCCATTTCGAAGCTTTTCGAGCGGGGCGCGGCCAGCGAAAGTGGCCAAGGATGGACCGAGGAGGCAAGGATGCAAGGGTACCCTTGGGAAGGTTGCCCATCCTCAATATGAGGGTTGATTGTATGTGGCGTAAGCGAGGTGGTGCAGCAATGTCGGGGGCGCATTAACCCTGGTCAGCGCAAGCCCAGGCCAGCCAGGGCCCTGTCACAAAGCAAGGCTCGCTGCTCCGTAACTCCCAAGCACTGGCCAACGGAAAGCAGAACAAGGCATCGGCCCCACGTGGCTCCAAACCGGGGTCGGCCAAGGGGATTGACCGTCCCCCGTTAACGCTGTCCCCCACCACGTGAAACACGACAATGTGGAGTACCTAAACGGTGCGGACAGACCGTGCGGTGACCTCGGAACCCCGAGAGACCTCACCGCACGGTCCGTCACCACGCGGCTTTGGGAACTTTGGAGGCTCCAATCGCCCGAGACGCCCTCGGAGAAGGACCCCGAGCCCCAGAACCGTGCCGTGACCCCGAATCCCGCCGACTCACCGCACGGCGCGGCCACCACCCCTCTACACGCACGAAATGGTTACGGAAAGAATGGGTACAATGCCCAACAGCAGTTCCTGTTCATTTTGAACAGGACTCGCTGTCCGCGCCGCCGCGGCCTGTGTCCATTTGAGGACAGGAGGCCTCCTGCCCAACAGCGGCCGCTGTTGGCTTGGGACAACATTTGTTGTTGGGCATTGTACCCATTTTTTCCGTACCCATTTCGGGCGTCCAAAGAGGAGGAGGAGGAGGAGGAGGAGGAGGAGGAGGAGGAGGAGGAGGGAGGAGGAGGAGGAGAGGAGGAGGAGGAGAGGTGGAGAGGTGGAGGAGATGAGGAGGAGGAGGAGGAGGGGGAGGAGGAGGGAGGAGGAGGAGGGAGGAGGAGGAGGAGGAGGAGGAGGAGGAGGGAGGGGAGGAGAGGAGGAGGAGGAGGAGGAGGAGGAGAGGAGGAGGAGGAGGAGGAGGAGGAGGAGGAGGAGGAGGGAGAAGGAGGAGGAGGAGGAGGAGGAGGAGGAGGAGGAGGCGCAAAGGCCCGGAGGCGGCGGCCAGCGCCCGCGGGAGGCGCCCCGCGGGCGGCGAGGCAGCGCCCGCGTGACAGCACCCCCGGAGAGGCGGCAGCCTGCGCACGGCTCCCCGCAGCGGGGCGCCCACGAGGCGGCGGCGGGGCAGAGAGCGCGGCCAGGCCGGCCAGCGCGGGGGGCGCCCGCGGCGCGCCCACGAGGCGGCTGCGGGGCCAAAGCCGGGGAATCCCAGCCACTGACTTCGGAGTCGAGTGCGGCGGGGCAGAGGGCTCGGCCGAGCCCGGCCAGCGCACGGGGCGCAGGGCAGATCGCGGAGAGCAGCAGCTAGAGATTGAGACCGTGGGGAGCGGGCAGTGACACGGAGGTCCGCGGGGATTGCTCGGATCGGTGCTGGACCCCCCTCCCCTGGCGCACGGGGCGCCCGCCGCCCGCGGCGCGCCCGCGAGGCGGCTGCGGGGCCAAAGCCCGGAAGTCCCAGCCACTGACTTCGAAGCGGAGCGTGGCACCCCTGGAGGAAGCACAGCTTCGGGAAAGCTCTCTCGGGCCAGAGCAGCGCTTCCAGAGCGCCAACGCGATGTCCGACGGCAGCGCGTCTAGAGCCATACATGCTCCCAGGGCATCAGGTCTGCCCCTGCGCGGTCTTGGACTTCTGGAAGTTGGCACCACCACCAACACAAGGGGGCTACATCCACGGGGGGGAAATGATCCTGGATGCTTGTACGGGTGGTAATTTCTTGGCCAATGGAAACTCCGAATATTACCACCATCACGAGATCAGGATCATCATCCCTCGGTGGAAGAAACCGCATACTTTGAGGTCCGCGCGGCTTTCCTGGATCGGCACTCGGACACCCCTGGCGGCGCCTCCGACGCCACCCCTGGCTCGCTGCGCGCGCCAGGGAGAGGGCTCTCGCGCCGACCCAAGAAAACTGCGAGGACCTCAAACAGTTTATGCTGTTGCCATGTTGTTGTTGTTCCTGCGAGTCTGCGGTTGCCTTCACCGAGGGAAGATGACCGTGATCTCGAGGTGGTGGTGGTGGTGGTAAAATTCTGGTTTCTTCGGCGGCCGAGAGGTCACCACTGGCACAGGCAGAGGAGGAGGAGGAGGTGGAGGAGGGCGGATGAGGAGGAGGAGGAGGAGGAGGAGGAGGAGGAGGAGGGCGGATGAGGATGAGGAGGAGGAGGAGGAGGAGAAGGAGGAGGAGGAGGAGGAGGACCTCCCCATCCTTCACTCTCCCCTGCCCTGCCCATGGCAGCGGTGGTGGAAGCTTGGCCCACCATCGAAGCCTCCGACGTTCCGAGCGCCCCGTCCGCCGCACACGCCCCCGGGCGCACGCCCGTGCGCCTCGCCGCCCGCCAACCCTCGAGCGGGGGCGGCAGGGCTCGGTGCCTCGCTCCGGGCGCCCCGAGCCACGCCCGCGGGCGCGCGGGCGGCCCCGCTGGTATCGGGCCGGGCGAAGGGGGTGGATGGCAAAGGGGGGGGGGTTGAGAATCAGCTCACGTAGCTGATTTTCCGGGCGCCTCCCGGCGCCGGAGGCGGCTATGTATCGAGGAATGGGCCCCTCGGTGCAGCCGAAACCAGATGCATGCAGCAGATTTCGTACCCCCCCCTTTCCCAATCCACCCCTTTTCGTCCGGCCCGATAGTATTAGGTCGGGAACGGAAAATCGCCATGAGCATAAACGTTTGGCGCCTCCCTCCCTCCCCTCCCTGGCGCGCGGAGCGCGCCAGGGGCGGCGCCAGAGGCGCCGCCAGGGGGGGGGGGCATGTGCCGATCCAAGAAGCCCGCGCGGAGCGCCAAAAGTGTATGTTTATGGCGACTATTCTTCTTCGAGTCGTGTCGACCCTGGCGTGGGTTCGTGACCCCGCGGGGTCGCTCCAACTTGAGCGATCGGCTGGTTCCGAAACGTCAGATTGGTCGGCATCGACCGATTCTGGGTCGCTGGCGGCATTCAACGTTGAACGCTGGCGGCGGAGTCGCCGCTGGTCGACACGACGCGAACCTACTGTACAGGGCACGTTCATCCACCAGGCACCCGCCGCGAGTGGCCCAACCCTGAAGCCCTGAGGTCCGCCGAGGTTTCTTCATCCAAGGTTGGGTGTCCTGCACCCTGGCTAAAGACAGAAACCCAGGGCACGCCGACCCTAGCGGCTCTTGATCACCTGCGAAAAAAGTGGCATAAAGAAGCCCAACGTGCCGACGCTCATGAAACCCAGCGTCGAAGCTAAAAAACACAGGGCACACTGACGACACAATGTTTTTTGTCATGCGCCCCGACTGCACTCCCAGAAGTGCGTCGTGACCAAACCTTCGATCGAGGAGAATCCAGCCGTGGCGGCGATACACACATGACAGACAAAGGAGGCTCAAAACGCACGGCCCGGCAAGAAATTGCAATGTATTTGCGGAGTTTTATGAGCAGTTATACTACACAAAGGCCAAGCCGACACAATGAGAGAAACGCGGCGACAACCTCCTACCTTTCACTGGCAATGAGTTGGAAAATGCGATAATAGGGCTCCGGCTTGTTAAAGCTCCAGGTACCAAAGGCCTACGGGTAGAAATCTTGAAGGAAGGCACAGACGAATTGCACTGTGCACCTCTCCGTCTCTACAAGATAATCATCCAGTCCGACGCTCCGACGCCATCCAGCTGGAAGAGCACTGTCATCACGGTCATTCCGAAGAAAGGGGATCCAACACTTCCGCAAAAGTATCGGCCCATATGCACAGCATGCACCATACCACTACTTTACAAGCTTTTCGGCAGACTTCTCTACAACAGACTTCAACCAACACTCGACTCCCGACAAGCTGCAGACCAGGCCGACCAGGCCAGCTTCAGGCCAGGACATTCGACAACCGACCACCTGTTCGTTTTCCGCATGAGCGCGTGCACAAATGGACCATAACTTGTGGGTAGCGGCACTAGACGTGCACAATAGCATGTGGGCAGCAGCACTGTAGGCGCAGGGCGTCCAACGAGGATACATGTCACTACTCCAACAGCTGCACGAGGGACAGGCGGCCACGGTCAAGACTGACGTCAGCAGCAGGTCCTTCAGTCTCCTCTGGGGAACAAAGCAGGGCGACCCACTCAGTTCCTGACTTTTCAACGCTCTGCTGCAGCATATTCTTGCGCCACTAATCACCGACTGGCAAAAAAAGGACAAGGGAGTTCAGCTAAGATTCACCACCACCTCAGCACTCACTAACCTCGGCTTCGCCGACGACGTGCTCCTGAACAGCCAAACACTACCGCGCCTCACCGAGATGCTCGACGACATCGTGCGCGCAGTGCGACCTCTCGGACTTGAGCTGCACCCTTCCAAAACCAAAATCCTCAACAACCAGACCAAACGGATTGGCAGGGCAAGCTCCATTCAGGACATGGACATCTCATTCTTTCCCACGATGGCAGCATCAAATACTTGGGTCAACTCATCAACTTGCACAACGCGATGGAGACTGCAATCCACCACCGCACGAAGGCAGCATGGACAACGTTCACTTCGCGCAAACTGGAACCGACAAACAAACACTACCCGCTGGCACACCGACTCCGGCTTTTCAACCGGACAGTAACACCCGCAACACTCTACGGAGCAGAGTCATGGACGCTCTCGAAACCTCTCCGGCAACACCTGCGGCGAACACAACGACGCATGCTCCACATGATCATCAGGATACCAAGGCGACGCGCTACCCGCCAAACGACCCCGACGAGCAGCACCTAGCGCCACGCGGACGACAGCACGACCACCCAAGCACATCATCAAGAACCCAGCAGCAGCGACGACGCAGAGAGCAAAACACCCCAACAAGACACGACAGATCGACACAGCGAGAGCAACGACAACAACAACAACAACAACAACAACAACAACAACAACAACAACAATAAGCAACAATAAACAACAACAAACAACGAACAACAAACAACAAACAACAAACAACACACAACAAACAGCAAACAGCAAACAACACACAACAACGACAACAACGACAACAACAACAACAACAACAACAACAACAGCAACAACAACAACAACAGCAGCAGCAGCAACAACAACAATCAGTTTAAGACTGTTCGCCCTTATATGCTCGAGTGTCCAATAACGCGTATTTCCCAAACCCTCGATACCCGCCCTCTTCGTCTTCGATCGAACCCCTTTTGGGGGGTATACTTTTCTTCCCTGCAGGCCAGGCCCCGGCAAGCGGCGGGGCGGCCGCGGACCGTCGGCCTGGCCAGCGGCAGCGCTGATCGGCGGGGCGGCCGTGGACCGTCGACCCGACCCCAAGAGGGACGGACAGGGGACCGACCACGACGACGACGACGACGTCGTCGAAGACGACGGCGACGGCGGCGACGACGAGCGAAAGCGAGAGCGAGAGAGAACGACAGCAGGGCCACGTAGGGCACGAAGTAGGCCACGAAGGGCGACAGCGGGGATACGAAGGGAATGCGTATGGGGCCACGAAGAGTGCGAACGAGCGGGGGCCACGAAGTGCAGATTATGCGGGGCCACAGAAGGCAACTGTGGCCACTGAGGGTAGCAACTGGGCCACGTAGGACAATGAGGGGGACACAAATGTTGACAGCGGGGCCACGAAGGGCATGCACACGGGGCCACAGCGGGCGCGACTCCTGGGTGCCTGGGTGTCGGGAGCGCGGCGCTTGGGCAAATTGCAGGAAATTCCAACGCAAGGCTATTCTTCAGTAAGTTGCAAGCAAGTCTCCAGCGAGAGCGCGACTCCAGAGCTCCAGGAGAGCGATTCCTGAATGAATTGTAAGGAAATCCCAAGCGGGAAGTCCCGGGCGGGAGCGGGGGTCCTGCCTAAATTGTAAGGAAGTCTCAGGCGGGAGCCGTTGTTGTTGTAACCCGGGGGCCAGGGGGCCAGTTTGAGCAGGAATCCTTTCCCTTTCAAAAAAAAAGGTGCGAGCGTCGAGGGGCACACTTTGATCGAGAAAAAACAGTATGCACCGGTGAGGGGGGGTCAACAATAATTATTTTTCAAAAATGAGGATTCCACAACAACAAGAACAAGAGAAACAACAACAACAACAACAACAACAACAACAACAACAACAACAACAACAACAACAACAACAACAACAACAACAACAACACCAACAACACCACCAACAACAACAACACCAACACCAACACCAACAACAACAACAACAACAACAACAACAACAACGACGGCAACAACAACAACAACAACAACAACAACAACAACAGCAGCAACAACAACAACAACAACAACACGAGGACGCGATGGAGCCGTGGGTCAACTACATCCAACGAGCCACGCGGCGCGCAGAGCAGCTCATGCAGCACCACCACATTGAAAACCAGGAGATGATTCGCAGGCAGAGGTCGTGGCGCATGGCATCCAAGGTCGCCAACCACGAGCCCACCAGATGGACGTGGCGAGCACTCCACTGGCAACCAGGAGAGAACTCACGCCAACGTGGCCAGAGACACCACGGCGGCCAGCGCAAGAGCTGGGACAATGACCTCGTCAGCTCTCTCCAAGAACACCGACCCGACCTGCAACCAGCTCCCACACCAACCAATGAGCAGGGCAAACCAAAC